ACAAACTACAAGCTATGTAGACACCTCTTTAAACTCAGTGCTTCATCCTTTCTACCTTGTGTGTCTGCAGCAACCTCAAGTGTATCTTCTCTCCAGCTAGTCTGTCTTCCAAGCTATTTTCTACATAGCAGAAATAGCTATTTTTTTCTAGTAAGAGATTTAAGATAAATCACGTTAATATTCCACATAAAAAATATCCCTGACTTCCCCCATCCCATAAGATAAAATCTCAAGGCCTTACATTGACACTGATAGAGCATGTCTATCACTGTAAATTCGGTCTACAGTCTGGGTCTACAGTCGGAGTCCCTGACTAATTCCCACCTTTCCTTGTCCAACGCAATTCACCGTGTCGACAGCCTTTCATTTCCAGCGTTGCCCACACTCTATATGAGTGTGCAAATGCTTGTTTCCCGAGTGTAGAAGCCCTTTCTCTCACTTTTCCCTTTATCTTCTACTTGGAAATTCCCATTTGCTCTTCAAGGTTCATTTGAAAAATCGTCTCCTCAACGAAGCATTTACCATTCCCCTAGATTTTAAGACTGAATTAAACACACACTTTTCTGTCTATGAAGCATTTTGTGCTTAGTCTTACTTTGTGATACTTTCTCATTTGTGCAGGACCTCACCCTTGAGAATTATACCAAGCAAGTGTTAAACTCTCTACCCTCATGGAGATCACGTTTGAGGCAGAAGGACGGACATGTCAAATGATAACTAAAATACATGGCGATAAAAAAACATTCTAAGAATATGTATGGAGTATTCTGAACACAGATGAAAGAGCATTTAATGTAAACTTGGGTGGGGAATGGAGAAAGGGTTGGCCAGACATAACTATGAAAGGACAGTGACATTCAAGTTGACTTTCCATATTTAATAATGCCTAGAGATAAAGGCAGAGACTGGACACACACCCTCGGATGACAATGACTGGCTGAAGCTGAGAGCAGCTGGCCAAATGAAACAGGGCATGTGGTCCACTAGGTTCCTTTTGTTAATTTACTCCCTGGTTCCTGTGGGCATGTGAGATATCTGACCCCTGCTAAAGAAGCCAGCTGTTGCCAGGGCATGGAAGAAAAGATGCTATGTGACAGGAAGTGAGGCGTTTCATCATGGGAGCAATGAGGTCATTCAAAGTTTTGAAAGAGACTGACTGACATAATCAAGTGTCTCTTTAGAAATACTGCTGAAGGCAGTGGGGAGAATTCATTGCAAAACTTGAAGAAAATACTGCTCCCTAGGATAGGGGTCAGGAGTTTATTGTAGGAGTTCAGAAGTTCAGCCAAGAGAAATAGAGCTTAACCGAGGGTTGTGACAGCTAGAATGAGCAAAGGGAATAGAGCTTGAGAGTTATTTGGGAGATAAGATTCACCAAACTCTCTGGCCAGTAATAGGTGAGTGATAAGGACCTGCAAAGGACACTGGGTGTCTGCCTTGGACTCCTGGTTTATGCCCCTGCAATTAAACTAAGTAGAGGAAAATAACTGGATAATCATATTGGATAGAAGGGGCCAGAAGAGTATGTTTTGTCTTGCTCTTTCGATTTCATAATGCATGTTATAGATAGAACTTTATAAAAAGCCAATTTGTTGTTTTCAACAGCTGGATATACCCAGATTAATTATCTTTCCATTGGCATGTAGGTAAAAAGATTTTTCCTATTATAAAAGAAAATACATTTTTGTGGACAAGTGCAAGAATAACTTACAGTACAAATGCCTGAAGTTTCTGAATCAAAAGGAATATACATTTTTTGATAGACAAAGATCAGTTTTTAGGGCATAAGTTTGGAGAAGTGAAAAAATAAGAGTTTAGAAAAAAATCTATAATTTTGCCATTTTACAAGTTAGCATCCATGCGTGATGATAGGTTGTTTGGCTCCTGATAATAAGTGGCCAAGAACAGAAGATGGTAGCCAAGAGGCTTTGACATAGGGTATTGGCTGAGATGGCCTTTTAGCTGCTACTTTCAGCTAAGAACATGACAATGATTATAGTGATAAAGATTACCATACAGCTGAAATGATCCAATCCCTAAAATATACTTAATAAAATATATAGAATAACTTATATACAAATGGAAGGCTGAACTTTATAAGGTAGCTAATGACCTTTTTATGTGTCCTATTTTTAAATGATGTGTACTTTGTGTAGCTTAAGAAGGTAAGTCTCACATTCTTGTAGTAGAGGAAAAACACTGAATTCAGAACTATACAATAGCAGTTAAGTACCAAAGTTGTCCTTGGTTAACTATATGATTTTAGGCAAACATTTAAAATCTCTAAAAATCCCATTTTCTCATTTTATGCATTGCACAGTGTACAATTTCACTACACAGTAAGCATGAATATTAAATATTATTGAATATTGCAGGATTCAGTAAACATGTTTTGTAAAGGGCCAGACAGTAAATATTTTAGACTGCAGGACACCCAGCGTCCGTTGCAGCTACTCACCTCTGCCACTGTAGCGTGAAAGCGGTAAGCAAATCAGTCGGCATGGCTATGTTCCCGTAAGGCTTTACTGAGAAGGTGGCAGCCAGATTTGGCCTTCAGGTCGTGAAATTTGCTAACCACTGAAACAGACGAGTGAAAGAAAATCTTATGGTATAACCTTTTACATGTTCTCCAGCCCTGAGAAACTATGACCCTAAATAGTGTGTCTTTCAGCAATGAACAATTTTATCTAAGTATATTTTCTGAAGGAGTGACTATGCACAATAATAAAAAGGTGTAAAAGAATAAAATATTTCCAAATCTCCACTAAAAATATTCTGAGACTCCTCAGTAACTTTATATGAGTCTACCTTTCAGACCTATATGAAACCCAGATCGGCTGAGTATATGGGCAACAAACCATATACTCAGCCTCCTTCACACAGAAATGTAAAAGGCTGGCTGCCATCCTCCCACAACTATGTTTCAAAGGCCTCATGTTAAAATGCAGGAACGAAAGAGAGACCAGCTTGAACAGAATTGTTTAGTTTGAAATGGGTGTAACTGTCTTGTGTTGCCATGGTTTCACTTTGGAATGGTTACATTTTCATTTTAATTAAAAAAAAAATGTACCTGGAGAGAAAGATGCAAGGTTTTAAACATGACCAAATGATCAAAACAATAAAATAATCTAATGGTAATGTGAATGAATAGACGAGTGACTTTTAATTTATTTACAAATAATAGTTATGTTATTTTCTTACAAGGAAAGCTACATTTTTCTAAATCCTGTATAAGGTAAAATATTGTGCTGCAAAATTAAATGTTATGATTTATGGGGTTTATTAAGTATAAAAAAAAGTATAATTAGTTTTCCAGTGCCAGAGGCATGTCTGAAATATTTGAATGGAATGCAGCTGGTTTATGTGATAAACCTGTAACTGTGAGTCAATGGGAAATAATTGCTACTTCTCTCTTCGAATATTTTGAGAATTTTAATAGTATTATTTTTGTTGATTTTACCTATAAGATGGAGCCATGAAAGCTGATCATTCATCTTTCTTGAGGTGGCATGTGAAAACATGACCTGGCTGGTACTTATGGGAACCTACAGACTATTTAATCAAGTAAATTGGTAAAAATAATAAAATTAGGGAAAGTAGCAATAACAATGAGCTTATTCTCTTATCATGCCATGTTTTCAGATTAACATATTTTAAATGATAAAATTTACTATTAGAATTTCTACTGGAGGTGAATTCTGACAACCTGCTGTCTCTCAGCCCGGGTTTCCCTTCACGGGGAAGGGAGGCTGTTCCCATGGTAATGCCAGAGGCATACACACAAAATAAAACCAGAATCATGCAAGTGCCCTGGCAGCCTTGATTCCTAACTGGTCCATTGTCATTTTCATACACAAACCTTGGTCCCAAACAAATATCATAACTAAATCCACAATCTAGGGATCCACATGAGGAAGCAAAAACAAGAGTGTGGCTGTTGGTAAAGATGAACGATTATGGACATTTTTCAATCTATCACAACTGCAATTTAAAAACTATAGTTGCAGCATGTGTCCGGGTGCCTGCTTCCCCTCGCTGTGCTCAGACCCTGAGCTGGCTGCAGACTCCTGATTGTTGCTCCAGGTTCTCTCAGGTTTCTGTATCTGTTGTTCTCAGCACTGGGGGAGGCTAGAGGAGGGACCTGCCCAGAGTCCCCGCAGGGAAGGGAGGGACGTCTCAGCAGGGAGACACTGCAGAGTCAGTGAAGGAATCGAGAGCCAAGGCAAGGTGGAGAAAACAGCCTCGGGAGGCTGCAAAGCCAGACACGGCTCCTACTGTGGGAGGCCAGGAAAAGTTAGGAAAGGAGGGAAAGATGGGAGCTGAGGAAATACTAGAGGAGAAGGGAAACCAGGAGGAGGGAAAGCCAGCGACAGACAGAAAGTCAGAGTCAGGGAGAACCAGAGAGCCAGGGAGAGCCAACAGAGGAAGGAAGGCCAGAGAGCCAGGGAAAGCCAAAGAGGAAGGAAGGCCAGAGGGCCAGGGAGAGCCAACAGAGGAAGGGCCAGAGAGCCAGGGAGAGCCAACAGAGGAAGGAAGGCCAGAGAGCCAGGGAAAGCCAAAGAGGAAGGAAGGCCAGAGGGCCAGGGAGAGCCAACAGAGGAAGGACCAGAGAGCCAGGGAGAGCCAACAGAGGAAGGAAGGCCAGAGAGCCAGGGAAAGCCAAAGAGGAAGGAAGGCCAGAGGGCCAGGGAGAGCCAACAGAGGAAGGACCAGAGAGCCAGGGAGAGCCAACAGAGGAAGGAAGGCCAGAGAGCCAGGGAAAGCCAAAGAGGAAGGAAGGCCAGAGGGCCAGGGAGAGCCAACAGAGGAAGGACCAGAGAGCCAGGGAGAGCCAACAGAGGAAGGAAGGCCAGAGAGCCAGGGAAAGCCAAAGAGGAAGGAAGGCCAGAGGGCCAGGGAGAGCCAACAGAGGAAGGACCAGAGAGCCAGGGAGAGCCAAAAGAGGAAGGAAGGCCAGAGGGCCAGGGAAAGCCAAAGAGGAAGGAAGGCCAGAGGGCCAGGGAGAGCCAACAGAGGAAGGACCAGAGAGCCAGGGAGAGCCAACAGAGGAAGGAAGGCCAGAGGGCCAGGGAAAGCCAAAGAGGAAGACCAGAGAGCCAGGGAAAGCCAAAGAGGAAGGAAGGCCAGAGAGCCAGGGAGAGCCAACAGAGGAAGGACCAGAGAGCCAGGGAGAGCCAACAGAGGAAGGAAGGCCAGAGGGCCAGGGAAAGCCAAAGAGGAAGACCAGAGAGCCAGGGAAAGCCAAAGAGGAAGGAAGGCCAGAGAGCCAGGGAGAGCCAACAGAGGAAGGACCAGAGAGCCAGGGAGAGCCAACAGAGGAAGGAAGGCTAGAGGGCCAGGGAAAGCCAAAGAGGAAGGAAGGCCAGCCATGGAACCCAGGGCTGCAGGGAGGTGCCCAACGGGGGATGCTGTACCCAGGAAAGCCCAAAGCAAAACCAAGGAGGGGCTGGCTCAGTGCCTCAAGGAATACAAGGAGCCGTGCACCACATGCATGTGAGCCCTGAGAAGATCGTAAGAGAATCTGACCAGGTGGCTGGGGCTGAGAATGAGGTGAAAACCAGACAGAAACTGGGGGGCTTTATGTGGATGCAACAAAGTTTACAGGACCCCTTCCACCCAAGGGGCCCTCGGGAACTCCGGGGTGGCTGTAGCGCCCCACAAAGGGGCTTTGAAGACTTCCTTTTAGTGTAGTGCCCATGGTAGGCATTCGCCAGGCCCAGGGCTTTAACCGCGTGCTAACACTTTGCTTTAGTTGTCACTCCCGTAATCCAGCGGCAGCCCTCTATGTTTCCATTGCAGGTTTTTGTCCGTCGCATGGAATAATGTTTACGATGCATTGAAAAATTAAAAAGAAAACAGTATGCTGAACCATAAATAAATAAAAATAAAATAAAAACTGTAATCACAACTTATTTATCGATTCTACTTAATAAGTTAAACCTAGCCCACCAGATTATTTAAAATATTTTCAGAATAGGTATTTAATCTGGTTAGATTATTATTGGTTTATTGCACAAATATTGATGACATTTACAATAACTATACAGGATTAGTAGCCTGAAGACACAGCCCAGGCTATCCAGGAATTCATACCTTACTGAGAAGCACAGGTGTGTGATGGAGTGATATATATCAGCATATGGAGCAAAACACTGTTATAAACGCTACAGTGGAAAAGTATTTTGGAAATTTGGGGCAGATAATTCAGCTTTAAGAGTAGGGTGAAGTAGGATCTTGAAGGAGAAGCAGGATTTCAAAGCAGTGTGGTAAAGGGCGCTCCAGGCGGGAGGTGACAATAGCAGAGCAGGGGCCGTGAGCCTCCGGGAGACCTGGCCAAAGCACAGGGATGGAGATTAGCAGGGCCTCTTGTGGAATATCGAAGGACTCAGTGTGGCAGCCGTCATGTGCCTGGGCTCAAAACAAAAGTGGCTAGAAATTGAAAGACAGTGAACACATACAGTGCGTTTTAGACCGGTTGTCTTAGCCCGAGGTACCCCAAAGGCGGAGCGTCAGGTGAAGGTTTTGGGTTAAGTCATCTGTTTGTAAGACAAGCACAGGCAGAAGAGGGAGTGAAGACTTGAAAGGAATAAGCCAATGCAGGGGGGTAAAGGCTGGGGTACTGCTGTGGCCGGCTCTGCTCGTCTCCCCTAGGAACCCCCAGGTGTGGACATAACTCAGCATCAGCACACGCTTGTGGAATACGTGCATCAGGAAGCAAGCGGGAGACAGGAAACGCGGAACTCGGCCTGGCTTAGAACCTCGACCCTCGGGGCAGGGTCCCCTCGGGGCAGGGTCCCCTCGGAACCTCACTCTCCTTCACGGGCCCCTAGACTGGGCAACCAAACCACCTTTGTGGGGTTTGCCCTGTTTGCGATCCTCCTGTGTATAAATGCAGTTAATATATTTTTAAATCAATTTACCACTTACTCTCCTTCTGAGCAATAATGACTATGACGTCACAGTTAGATTGTTAGCCTCATATCCTCAAATTTCCACCCATCTCCAGGTGTATTAAGTGCTTGGCACTTCTGACCTGCTAGGATGAACTGGGTGTCCTCCCACCCTGTGGACGAAAAGGGGCCACACGCTGACCTGACTGGCTCAGGGAGGCCGCCTGGGGCCTTGCAAACTCAGAGACCTAAAGTAGCCACAAGGATGGGCTGAAGTTAAAACTTTTTTAACTAAAAGCAGTCTATTGTAAGTAGTCACGTCCTAAGGCAGCATTTTTTCCCTAACAAAGGTCAGTCTTCACCTTAACTGAGCCTGTCTACTGTCTTTTTGCATCTCCGATAAAATATCATTGGAATGTCAAAGTAGTTTTCCTTTTCCTGGACCCCTCAAAGCACAGGCACTGCCTGTGGAGAACACAATTCCCCTCATGGTTATTGCGTTAATTGTTGACTGTTAACTACCCTGCACCCACCTAGCTTTACGTTTACCCAATCCCAGAGGTTTCCCCGCTTTGCTCTCTCCCGCCTCCCTAATCTACCACCCATGGACTTCATGTAACCCACTTACGTGCATCTCCTCTTGTGGCTGGAATGCGTAAAACAAGGTGCAAAACTGCCATTCTCAGGAGCATTATCTCAATCCGTTGAGGTTTTGGCTTCCTGGCAATTGTCGACAGTTTGGCTCAAATAAGCTCACGGAAAAAATTCTTCACAGGTTTGAATGTTTCTTAACAACAGACAGAAAATACCTTCAGATAAAAAAGCAGGACGGTAAATGTCTATATTCTCTGTAAAAAGTTTAAATACATGTGCAATTCTGTATATCATATGTTCAAGCATAGTAATATGGGTAGCATCACAGACAGACCACAAAGCAGCTTACTACTCTAAGACAGCAGTTATCTCTCCTCTAGGGAGAAATGGTGGAAATAAAAGGTTGTATTTGTTTAATTGAATTTCTATTTTTTTATTGTTTTAATAATAGATTTGAAGTAAATATACAAATAAACATTTGCACAATTGTGTCCGTGTGTACATATGTGTTTTTACAATATTTTCTGTCCCGTTTTTTGTGTTCGAAATATTCTAAAATTTTCCAAATGTGTAAAATAAAATAAAATGGAGTGTGAAAAAATTTCCCCAAATTCTCCGAATCGCCAACATTTGAGTTGCATGATCAATTTGCATTATTTACAAAGAAACAATATATTTGAAACAATATATTTGAAACTGTAGTAAAATTTAAATCTAATTAATTAATCTACAATTTAAATAGCTATAGCCTGAATTTTTAACATTTGAATATGAATATGTTTATAAATAATAAGTGTAACACAAATTTCCTTTGGCTAAGGCAATCTGTGGGCACGAATTGCTCATAAAACCATTAGTGCTCAAATATGTGAATAACTCCCATTTGCATTTATACAAGACCTCCTCTCTAACCAGCTAAATACGACCTCTACCCCATGACCTATGTTGCTGCCATAGAAGCTCTCAGGGTAAAATTTGCTTTTGTCTGCTTATTAGCCTCTGGCCTTTTTGTTGTCAGGCACCTGCAAGGTATTGGGAAAAGCATTTGCTTAGGTGGGCCAAGAATTAAAAACCCTGCACAATGCTGAGTTGTCCCTGAATTCCCTTCGTTCTTTTTCTTCTCTTGGATTCTCAAACAGCTCTGTAGGTCCCTGGAGTCCTAACGAGCTGCTTATAGCTCTCCCTGCCTTATGGAAAGCCTTCCTTAGAAAGAGGCAGAACTTCTTAGGGGGGTTGCTTAGAAACATGCCAATGGTTCCCCTGTTTGTCCATTAAATGTGTACTTGAAAGTACATATTGTATTAACTCAAGCAAGGGGACAAGTAGTGGGGAGAAGGAGTGGGCACTACTAGCTCATTAGAGGCCCATTATCTATCCCCTGGTGCAGGCTCAGCTGGGTTACCACTGGACAAGTAACAATGTTAACTCTCAGAATCTCTCTCTCTGCCTTGCATAATTGGGGGAGCCTTTCCTGAACATGGGATACAATTGTGGAGACTACCTCCTGATAAACATAACACCAACTCTTTCGTATATGCTAGAAATACACAATTAGCATAATATTGTTAGGTGTGTTTATGTCTGACTTTTCATTCTCACCAAGAGTGATGTTAATGTGGCAGCTGCAAGTAGCTTTAACGTTTTTAGCAGCTCAAAGCCATGGTACCAAATTCATTAACTGCTTTCAGGAGGAAAGGGAGGTTGGAAAGTATACCAGGCAGTGGTTTCTCCTTTACAGAATTAATGAGAGAGAAAGAAGAACCCCTGATGCAAAACTAAAGAAGCCATTAGGAGTTAACCTTTCTGAAGTTGTATCATTGCTCTTTAATCATTAGCAGAACAAAATAAAGGTCTGAATTTTTCATTGAAGCTCTAAACTGAAATTATAGTATATGCTCAGAGACCATCTGAATATTTCTGACAAAGTTAAGCGGTGAAACGTGTTGATGCTTCTGTGAAAAGTGATAAAACCACTCTACTGGTGAGGCATTTATCATTACAGAAAAAAAGGGCCAGTAATGTTATTCCCTTTCCTGAGATTATCACTCACAGCTATGGTCTCCGTTATTGCAATAACAAATTGAGAAATAATATTCCCCCCAGGAGAAAGTGGGATGTTTTAATGTTTTATGGCAGAAAGACATTTTTGCAGACATGGCAGAAAGCTAATGTCTCCTTTAAATTGGGCTATAATTCAAAAAGAACTATGAAATGCAGCTGCAAAAAGTGGAATAAGTAAGCTTATGCTTCCTAGTTTGCTCCTATAATATTTTCAATTTTGTTACTGTTGCTCATTTTGTGGCTACAGGATGCAGTGCAATTTGTTTATAGTGTGTGCCCTTGGTTAGGGAGAAATTAAGTGTCCCTAAACAATGAGTTGTAAGGGTCCATATGAGGAGAGTCGACTGATATTTGGTAACTTCTCCACTTGCATTTCACCATTTTTTAATGTATTAGCCCATTCACTAATTTACAGATATATATTGAGCAAATCCTGTTAGCCCAACAATATCCTATAGGCATGGCACACTTTCCTGAACAAAGCAGACAGGATTCTCTGTATCATGGAGCCTAAAATTGGTAAACAAGATGGACAAAAGCAAGTTAAAAATGAATAACACATAATGAAAATCGGCAATGTAATTTCAAAGAAAATGTAAGAGTTGCTTATTTTATAGACAATGTTTATATTTTTAAAATGTTAGTTTTCTGCAGTCTCTGTGTTTTTTTCTAATAAAAAGAAAATTTCACTATGATTTGTTCAGCTATATATTCATACACTTATTATTTTAAAGTCTTTATTTATTTATAGCATTAAAGAAAGTATATACATGTATACAAACAGTTAAAAGACATAATGAAATAAACACTCAGACCCAGCTTAATGAGTAGCATATTCCCAGTACATGGCATGACTCCTCTAAACCCAAAGCATTGCCCACACTACCTCCCCAAAGATAATCATTATCCCTAATATTTTGCTAATTCTATTGCATCTCTTCATAATTTCTATAACTACTTAGTTAACATTACCATCATTAAAACTATAAAAATAAAATCATAGTACATATAGTGATTTTCTTGGTTTGCTTAATGTTTTGGAAATTTCTCCATTTCTACATACATTTTTAGTGCTTTATTGAAACAAAATTGTGTTTTTCCATTGTACTTTAGATTGATGATGAATTGTTCCCTACAGTTTGGCAA